TACACCTCGACCGGCTTGCGCCTTATCATGGAGCTGCTCGAGACGAGCAACTATAAAAAGGGGGAAGATGTGGCGGTTGGAGAGCAGAGCAACGGGGAGAAGAGAAACAGTAGAAGGACACAAAGAAGAAGATGCTGCAAGAACGGCCTCCAAAGAAAAGGAACGGGGGAAGCACGATTAGGCTATTCGGGACGAACAGCCTTAAGGAGGGAGCAGTGTGACATGTTGACCCCTACCTCCCCAGCTGCACGTAGCGGTAACGTAGCGCTCGCATAATAGGCGAGTAATCACCCCGCAACTCTCCCCGCGGTGACATCACGAGCGGAGTCGAAGTGAGCCGAGCGGAGCCGACGTTAACCGAGTCCCCGCAACCTTGAAGCTATGCAAAGCGAGTCAACAGTGGTGACGTCACCAAGGGGTAACAGCATTGCTAGGATATACGCAAACACAGACGCGTCACCGCTTCCTACTGTGACGTGGCAACAGGCACCACTGCGGCTATATAAGGGAACTGCACAGCAGCTACCAGTCAGTTGTAATGTGACAGTCGCCGAGTGTGTTATCAACAGTTCTCAAGGTAGCAGCCTGCGAGTGTGCGATAACTAAGAAGTCAGCGAGCGGAAGACTTATTGTGTGCTTTCGAGACTTAGTGAGTGCTGTAGTACAGTTATACTTGGAGTGTGTAATTCAGGGAGATTTGTATAGCTCCCGCGTTATTAATACGTGAAGACTCTTGAAGAGAGTATTAAGAGATTTTGTTGTAGGGTTTGTAAAGTGTGGAAACCCGCAACTGTGTTATAATTAATTGTAGCCGATATTTGTAGATTGTTAAATAAACCAATTAACCATCTCTACGGCGTCTTCAGTAACGCAACATGTTACAATATCCATAACAGGTCCCAGTAGACCTAATACTGGAAAAGATAATGTCTGTGTAGCATGATTTTGGAGAAGCCCATTGCCAGCATCTTCAGGGTACCTGGCGATGGATGCAGCAGATACCCTCGACTGTTGGTACCTTTCTGCCAAACTGCATATCGCAACATCCAAGAAGCCTATAATCTGCATCTCGGTGATTCATTAATGTTGTAACTCAGTTATATTTTTTGTTTCAGAAAATACAGTTTATCTTGTTTGTATAGAGAAGCCATAAGATTTTTTTTTTCCACTTCATAAACCTTCACTAGCCTCTCAGTTATGACACAGTTATTAAAAATTCCTCACAAATTCTGGAGTTAGCAAGTCAGGAAAGATAAGGTTTGTAGATGATTGCTCACTGTAAACCGTTTTATGTAGTATATACAAAAGATATACTANTGCATCATGAGCTGTTATGTCGAAATAAGGAACCCCCGAAGAAAGAAATCCTGGATTGGACCTTGTGGAGAGGACGACCCCCTCCAAAACGGAAAAAGACACGGGAGAAGCCCGACCAATTCGACAGCCACCGAGGAGAGTACCCCTGGCAAAACAAGCGGAAGTGAAGGAAATGCTCGAAAATATGCGAGGACGGGGTGTTATAGAAGAATCGGACAGCCCTTGGTCGTCCCCGGTCGTTCTGGTCAGGAAAAAGAATGGGGAGATCCGTTTCTGTGTGGACTACAGAAAGCTGAACAACGTCACCAAGAAGGATTGCTTTCCACTACCTCGCATTGACGACACCCTGGACACGCTGGCCGGAGCCAAATGGTTTTCAACTCTCGATTTAAAGAGTGGCTATTGGCAAGTGGATGTACATCCCCAGACAAAGAAAAACCCACAACTGACTATGCAGCAGACTTAGTTGATCATCTGCACGACATCCACAATTACGCCCGGCAACACCTGAAGCTCGCCAGTGACCGGATGAAAACTCGGTACGATAAACTGGCCAATTCCGCAGGTTATGNTACACCTCGACCGGCTTGCGCCTTATCATGGAGCTGCTCGAGACGAGCAACTATAAAAAGGGGGAAGATGTGGCGGTTGGAGAGCAGAGCAACGGGGAGAAGAGAAACAGTAGAAGGACACAAAGAAGAAGATGCTGCAAGAACGGCCTCCAAAGAAAAGGAACGGGGGAAGCACGATTAGGCTATTCGGGACGAACAGCCTTAAGGAGGGAGCAGTGTGACATGTTGACCCCTACCTCCCCAGCTGCACGTAGCGGTAACGTAGCGCTCGCATAATAGGCGAGTAATCACCCCGCAACTCTCCCCGCGGTGACATCACGAGCGGAGTCGAAGTGAGCCGAGCGGAGCCGACGTTAACCGAGTCCCCGCAACCTTGAAGCTATGCAAAGCGAGTCAACAGTGGTGACGTCACCAAGGGGTAACAGCATTGCTAGGATATACGCAAACACAGACGCGTCACCGCTTCCTACTGTGACGTGGCAACAGGCACCACTGCGGCTATATAAGGGAACTGCACAGCAGCTACCAGTCAGTTGTAATGTGACAGTCGCCGAGTGTGTTATCAACAGTTCTCAAGGTAGCAGCCTGCGAGTGTGCGATAACTAAGAAGTCAGCGAGCGGAAGACTTATTGTGTGCTTTCGAGACTTAGTGAGTGCTGTAGTACAGTTATACTTGGAGTGTGTAATTCAGGGAGATTTGTATAGCTCCCGCGTTATTAATACGTGAAGACTCTTGAAGAGAGTATTAAGAGATTTTGTTGTAGGGTTTGTAAAGTGTGGAAACCCGCAACTGTGTTATAATTAATTGTAGCCGATATTTGTAGATTGTTAAATAAACCAATTAACCATCTCTACGGCGTCTTCAGTAACGCAACATGTTACAATATCCATAACAGGTCCCAGTAGACCTAATACTGGAAAAGATAATGTCTGTGTAGCATGATTTTGGAGAAGCCCATTGCCAGCATCTTCAGGGTACCTGGCGATGGATGCAGCAGATACCCTCGACTGTTGGTACCTTTCTGCCAAACTGCATATCGCAACATCCAAGAAGCCTATAATCTGCATCTCGGTGATTCATTAATGTTGTAACTCAGTTATATTTTTTGTTTCAGAAAATACAGTTTATCTTGTTTGTATAGAGAAGCCATAAGATTTTTTTTTTCCACTTCATAAACCTTCACTAGCCTCTCAGTTATGACACAGTTATTAAAAATTCCTCACAAATTCTGGAGTTAGCAAGTCAGGAAAGATAAGGTTTGTAGATGATTGCTCACTGTAAACCGTTTTATGTAGTATATACAAAAGCTATACTAGTTGCAGAATTAATAGCTCAGTCTGTACTTGCCTGGATATCTTTACTTTTACTTTATAAAGCAGAGGTTATATTGGACCAAGTATGAGAATTTAGTTTGCCTGAGAAGTTTTACTAGTGTAGATCAGAAGTGTAAGTGATGGCTGGACTCGGTCTCCCCATTAAGGATTCATTTTATGTTCTCTATGCAAAGAATTGAATTGAATGCATAAAGAGAGGTGCTTTTTTCATCTGTCAGTATGATTTTTTGGAAATGAAGTTGACTTTCATTACAGTTATTGAATATAATCTCTCTCACTGCTGGAGGACATTTACATTATAAAATTCTGGGTAAAAAAAAAATTGGTATTGTAGCTTACATTGTATATTTGTACTTTTTTTATTCCTTTTTACTATTATGTTTTGTCATTTTATTAACAAAATAGATGAACGGTCTGTTGCAATTTTACTGAAGTGAATATGGAAACTGTTCTTAATAATAAGTGAAATAGAATTCAAAGTAATATTTGTGCTAGATTGGCAATGGGTGAACAGTGTCTGTTCTTAGAGTGTGTTAAGCAGTTCAGTTGAGCACTTTTCATTGATATGCTTGCAGACCAAACAGTGAGGAGGATGATCCCCCAGTACAGGGACCTTTGCCCTTTGAGCCTGATGATGCCCCTTGGAAGAAGTCAGAATCTGGGATTCGCAAGTTGTGAGTACTGAACTTTTCTTGTATGCCCATTTACTTTGACATAGATACAAAGAATCGTATAGTGTCCATCGTAGTCTTAATTCAGTTTGATTTCAGTTTCCCCCCCGTCCCTCACTCCTTCATGCCAACAAAACAGGAAATTATGAATCTACTAGGTATGTGATGTTAATAAGAACTCTCTGATGAAACAAATCCATATCTATTGCTAGTAAAATTAACAGAATGTTATATGATGCAATAATATGATAGAGCTCCTTGCAGTAGTGGAAGAGTGCTAAATATGATGTAAGTATTAGCTGAAGCATTATGTTCATCATAGTTCCATAATGTTACAAAATAATAGCTTACTTTGTATTAAATGGAAATAACTGTACCATTGCCTTGAATGTACTTATGCAGAGACTTTTCAACATATTTAGTCTGGATAATAAAGAAATACTAATATCATAACGATATTTTTCTCTATATACATGTTTATAAATGTCATATTGTATCCCTGTTTTGCTGTCTACAAACAGTAGATGTACATCTCAACTTATTTTTGTGTTAGCAAAATAGTTGTTGATATTCACTGGTGTAGCCCAGTGTTTTGAAGGTTGATTAAGTGACATGTTAGCATGATAATAGTGCTATGTTGACCTTGTATTATAGATATTAAGGTGATGAACAGTAACTATAATAAAGATGATTGATACGTAGATTGTACTCTTTGGTAATGGTGTTTCAAATCACCCAGTCTTATTTAACTCTTCTCATCTCTCTGTGATTACTTTGAATGTTTTTCTATTTGTTTTTGTGATAGACTTCTCATATACAGTGATCCTTCGATTTATTCTAAATTAGTCTGTAGTATTGTAACATCATCTTATCACAGAATAAATGACTAATGCCATTGCAGTAGCCACATAGTTTAAAGCTGAAACTCGGTGTTCAAATTCTGTATATTTAACTTTAATTTCTGGCAGGGGCAAGAGTTTTTTCTCTTCTCCACAGCATCCAGATTAGCTCTGGGGTTCATGCAGCCTCCTGTCCAGTGGGTATTAGGTCCACTGCCCCTGTGGATAAAGCACCTGGAGTAGGAAGCTGACCACTCACCTTGATGTAGTGGCAAGGTTAAGAGTGCATGGAGTTATACATCTATTCCCCCATATGTCCTCATGACATGTTACTTGATGAAGCACAGGGATAACATTACTGTTGCCTTTACTTGTTCTGTGTAATTCTCATTACACTCAAGGAGGCAATAAGCTGCTTTGAAATAATGCAGTGTGTAACATAGAGAGATATAAAATATTTTAAGACAGTAACAATTTTACATAGAAACAGTAGCACATACCAGTAAGATGAACAGGATCTCACTAGTATTAGCACCCTTTGACTGTTGCAAAATATGTAAAATCTTTTTTAACTTTATTCATTCTGGTCCATCACACTAGTTAATTATTATAAAATGAATATGACAACACCGTCAAATGTGACTCAATATACGTTTATTTCATTTATTCACCTTCCATAAATCCTGTCGAGAGTACATTCTCATGTGGATGTGGAGATCGTCCTAGTTACAGTCACAACTAAGGATTACAGTTGTCATCCAATAGCATATACATTTGTATAAAATACTGATAAACATATACAATATAATAAATAAGTTAATTTTAGTAGTAAAAGTAATGGCAAACCTTATACGAGGGTCGTACTGAAAGTCATGAGCAACAATTTTTTTGTAAAGTAACGTGCTTTATTATTGACAAACCAAATACACCACCTCAATCTACAGACCTTTCTTTATTTTTCCACATAATCACCACTTCTTTGTACACATTTCTCCCAGCGTTCTGGGAGTTTGAAAATTCCCCTTATGTAAAATTCCGTTCCAGCCATCTGAAGACACTGACGCACTGCTTTCTGAATTGCCTCACTTGTCTCAAAACATTGTCCACGCAGCTGATCCTTCACAAATCCGAAAAGATTGTAGTCGGAGGGTGCCAGATCAGGGCTATAGGAGGGGTGTGGAAGAACTCCTCACCCCATCTTTGCAGTTGCTTCCAATGTGAGGCAAACGGTGTGGGGGCGAGCATTGTCGTGCAGGATGATGATGTTTCATCCCAGATGTTTATTGTGCAATGCATGACGGAGCTTGTGCAGCGTCTGGACATAACGAGCAGCATTGATGGTTTGCTCAGGTTCCAGGAATTCAGCCAGAATAAACCCCTCTGCATCCCAGAAGACTGTGCCCATCACCTTCGCAACTGATGGCACTGTCTTTGCCTTCTTTTTTGATGGAGAATGCAAATGGTGCCATTCCATACTCTGCTGTTTCGTTTCAGGCTCGAAATGGTGAAACCAGCTTTTGTCACCTGTCACAATACAGAGCAAAAACTCATCGCCTTCATGTCAGTATCTCTGCAGCAGTTCTGAGGTGATGGCTTTTCGCTGACCTTTGTGGTCTTCGATCAATAACCGCGGGACCCAACGAGCACAAACTTTCCTGTAGCCCAAGCTTTCAATCGTCTCCTGTATTGCACTGTGTCCTATTCCAAGTTTTCAGGGTATTGTGTCCACAGTCACACGCCTGTCATCTTGAATGATCTCATCCACTCTTTCCTTGTTGCGTTCAGTTGAGGCTGTTCAAGGATGACAGCTCCTAGGCTCATCTTCAATGCTGATGTTCCCATCTTTAAAATGTTTCACCCGTCTTCGAACACTGCTCGCACCCATGCACACACTTCCATAAGCACGCTGAAGTCTCTGGTGAATTTCTGCAGCAGGGGATTTCCTCTTTCACAAGAAATTCGATGACAGCATGCTGGCGAAACGACATATTGTTGTCGACCATTTTGTTGGAGTGATACTGGTCACGTGATGCAAGCTAGTGATGTCACAAGACACTCAAGGTTAACACAACAGCTGGTTCCACCTAGCACCATACTCTCTTTCATCTGCTGTACCCAGGTTGCATGCGAAAAAAAGTTGCTCATGACTTTCAGTATGACCTACATAAATTTGTACAGTTTTATACAAGTCTAGTAATTAAAAATTCAGTAGTTAAAACACAATGTCATTAATGAATTGTGAAGTGCCTTTACATGTTTCAGTCGTTGTGACCATCTTCAGAGAGGCAATAACAACATGCTAAGAACTATTATTACATAGTAGTTATTGTATTATGAACTATGTAATAGTAGTGCCTTAGCATGTTGTTATTGCCTCTCTGAAGATGGTCACAACTGACCGAAACATGTAAAGGCACTTTATAAATACATACTGAGTCACACTGGACGGTGTTGTCATATTCATTTTATAATAATGTAAAATCTTGTTTTAATTCAGAATTTTGTTACACATTTTGACTTATGTCCTCACTGATTTAGGGTGGCAGTTAGGCACTGGCTTCTCATCATAGAACCATAGGTTCAATCCTGGGTGGCTTAATGTGAGATTAATTGTGGACAAAGTGGCACTGGAGAAGGTTTATCTCAAGAATTTCCTTGATTTTTCCCTGTTAATCATTATACCACCATTGCCCCATGCTCATCTATCACTGCAGCTGATGGATGTGACAGTTCTGACCAGACAGCACATTCATATACCCCTCAGTCTTTAAATTTTTGGCTTAATCTCTGACTCCACACTTCGCTTTGTTCAGAGTAAGGATGCTATCTAGAATAAAACAATGAATTCAAGTTCCTGCTGTTGGTTATTTCCTTAATTCATCCCTGGACATCCTTACAGCAGGATAATGTTGTTACTGATGAGCATGAATGATTTACTATTATCATCATATACTGATTAAAATGTGATGGTTGTATTGAATGACCACTGTATTGATGCTGCTATTATATGTACTCCTTTCTTATTGGTTTTTGGCTGGGCGAACATTTAGTTCTGTTTCTTTGTCCACAGATTCACTATTCTTACTGCATTTTCACAAAACTTACTTAGTCCTACAGAGCCGAATGTTGTCTAAAGGTTAGAAGGTATTGATGTTTTGTTGGCATTTTCATGTTTTATATTTAATTTTAGCTGAGTTTTGTCTTGTTTTCTCGTTACGTTCTGCTTTTAATTTGCATCCTGTGCATGTCACCTGTTCTTATGGGGAACTGTTTTGTTCATAGGAGTTGCTCCACTGTTTAACATGTAACCAACTTGTGATACAATTATGAAACACAATATACTCAATTCTGGATTGTTTGTAGGTTAGACAATGAAGAAAGCAGTCTTCTGGGATTTGGCACCGTGTATATGTGGTGTTAACCGACGTTTCGGAGGAACGTATCACCTCCATCTTCAGGGTAGAAGGAAAAATATAAGAAATCTGCAAGCGAAGNCAATGTTGAGGATAATAGTAAAGATAGTATGTAGGAACCAAATTTTCCAAGAATTGGACATCCTGAGTGTTGAATATGAACCAGAATTATTATGATCAGTGTGATGCTTTATGTGAGATCATTATTAACTACATTTGGTGGATAATTAGTAACTCTTATGAGCAAACACTTCTGCAACCAATATCAGTATAGTTCTTCTGACTTCTCATAGAGACTTCACTCAATCTGGTTTCCAGTTTTGGGATAAAGATGGATCATTTTTAAATCCTCAGTATATTTGCATTACTTTACCATATCTCCGTTCTGATAAATTAAAAGTGTGTATTAGGGAAATCATTTAAACCCATTGCTTGTATCTAGTTTTAGACTTGTATCTTGTGGCAGCCATCATACTTTACATCCTACCATCAGCAGTAAATGGAAACCTGTCATAACATTTCCCTAAAAAAAAAAAACTCCCATGATTTTTAGTCCGCAAGTGAACTATACCGACCAAGTGACCGCTGCTTGTCAGCGAAGTTTAGTGTCAACTTTTGTGGATAGGGGCTGTTGCATGGTCAGTGCAACAGATCCCCACAGCCGTTAATTTTGGTTTTCTAGACCAGAAAGCTTTCCCTAATAGAAGTATAAAAAGTAAAGTTATCCCTGTACTTAATTAATTGAACACCATGCCATGAAAATGTATGCAAAAATGGAGGTATAACTCCAGCATTCTTAATGTTGGCACTAGGTGAAGCTGAGGTATAATCTTCTCACTCCTTCCACTTTACAACAAAAGAAACAGCCCTCCATATACAGGAGACTAATTCCCCCCCCCCAAATCTGATCTGAGGTCTATGGAGAGGAATCTCTTGCTTCTGCCAGGTATCAAACCTTAATCTCATGGCTGTCCGGTCCATATCTAAGTCACTATATCAGCTAAGCTGTTCTGGCTCTTCCAAATTAGATTTTGATTCCCCTACTCCTGCCATATAGAGAGAACAGATGCATGAAGATTAAAAGAACCGTAACAGAAGGCACACTGTCTCAGCTTTCGTACCATGTTCGTATTTGTGTTTGCTATCATTGATTTATTGAAATTTATTTTTCCAACATTTTATTTGGAGCACATTGCAGAACTAGTTTAGATGTATTGTTATGTAATAACAACACTGTCTGTTGAAGCATGAGAAGCATGCTAAGCAACATTAGTCTCCTGTACTGTAGCTTTGAAGGTTGTGTGACATGATTAATTCAGATAGAAACATTAGTGAACCTTGCACTAGATGTTATGTGATTGTGATAATTTCTATCTTTTGTTTTTTATTTGTACTTATTTGCTTTGTGACCTAAATAGTAATACAGGGTGTTTCCTGTTCACTCTAGGAAGGCTTATGACATAACTTTCCTTCTGACTGTCAAGCCACACCATAGAACTGCCTGCTAGAAATACCAAAGCTACTTGGGAGTAAATGCAGCTGCACAGAACAACCAAAAATACCTTCTGAGACTACCTTCAAATGATCATAGGTGCAGATAGTGTGAAAGCCTCTTCTTTCCTCTATAAACATCACACTTGATGCCTTCTGTTGACAGAAATGCTGTTCGGAGTGATTAATTTCTAGCCAGATAGATTTGAAAGGATTCTGACGATGGTGTATACTGTACTTCTTTTGGCTTGTTTTGGACTTCATGCATCGTCTGGTATGTAAAAGACAAAAGTTCATCTCCCACTGATGGAACCGGTTGTTGGGTGTTCATAGGTTGTTTTCTACAGACCGAGGTTTGTCCAGTGATTGAGACTAGCTCTTTCTAACGGGCCCAACTGAGTAGGTTTATCCTTCCCCACCCACCTGAAGATGGAGACAGATCCAGTCTCCAAAATGTCGTGGTCTTTTGTCTTTTACATACCAGACGATGGTTGAAGTCCGAAACAAGCCAAAAGAAGTAAAATTTCTAGCCAGTCTCTTTGGCTGTGGCAGTTGTAACACAAGTGAGCTAAACTGATCTAATTGGCTCATGGTATGCAAAGGGGTAAAGGTGGTTCCACTCTATTTTGTTTGTATTCATGTTCCCCCATGCTGATTGTATTTCTTGTCTGTCTTGTTTGCAGTTTTCGCAAGCTGTTTAGCGAGAGCAATGTTACATTTCTTGGGAGCAGCCCAAAACGAAGTCTTTCATCGTTGTCCAAGATGGCATTATCTAGCAGTACTAATACTGACACGCCTGTCTAATGACTCATCCCTTCCTTGTGGGGTAGATGGCTGCAACAGTGATGCCAGTCTGGTTACTGTCACCCTAGCGACTTCTGTTGCTGCAGCCTGTGGGATTGACTTTGCTGGCAATCTCGAACTCTTGGCACATTTGCTGACAGATATGTTATAAAACCTGCGTCTGTTTAAAAATAATGCTGATGAGGCTTTTCTGTCAATTGAGTACCACAGATGAAAAACAAGAAAAAATATGTGTATTACTATACCACTGAGATTTTAATATTGGAGAATGATTAAGCTTGTAAAAGCTTTTGTCTCTTCATTATCACTTATGTATAATCTTACATTTTATTCCTTTGTGGAGCTATGTATGAGCATTAAAACAATTTTATTTAAGGACTTAAATGTCATTGTAATAATTATCACATTGTGATATTTTTATTTCATAAAGTAATATTTTTCTGACTTTAATATACAAATTGTAATGCTATATATTATGTTGCTGTCATAAAGATGGAAGGTGGAAGTTTTATGACATGGATTTTCCATGTGGAAGCAATATAAATTATTTCATTTCACTGTCTCTTTTCCTTTAAAATTATCATTAACTTGATGCTTTTGTTATTTTACACAGGGTTAGTGGAGGTATTAAAAACTAGAAATATTAAAATATGTAAATTTTATCCCATTCCATTTTATGTATAATTTTCCTTCCATTTAATTTCTTATTATTTCACATACAAGGAAATATATTTAAAATACAAAACTGTAAAAGGTTTGTTAAATGCAAAATGACTGTAACACCTTCACGCAAGGCTTTTATAGATAACACTGAAGCTGATGAGAGATTGTGGTACTAAAACTCCAAAATTGACCCTCAGATTATCTCTCTAAAATTGTTTGACTTGAGCAGGACTCACTGAACTCAACACTTTTACAGTATGAATAAAAGAGAGTGATCTGAAAAGTGAGCCAAGCACTCCAGTGACATCAGAGTCACTTATCTTGTAAATGGATTATTAGAAGTATGCAGAATTTTTTTTTCTGCTTGCAATAGGTCATTTTAGCAATAATTCATATTTGTTGCTCACAGAGATATTGGGTTTTCGGGCTTTATCCATCGTCCTGGTTTTTAAGATAACTAAGAAAAACACAACGTTTCGGAAACTGGATCTGTTTCCAACCCCAGGTGACTGGACCAGTGATTGAGGCTAGCTCTTTCTAAGGGACCCAACAGAATAGGTGTTTTCCCTCACCTGGGGATGGAAACAGATCCAGTTTCCGAAACGTGTTTTTCTTAGTTATCTTAAAAACCAAGATGATGGATAAAGTCTGAAAACCCAATATCTGCATGTGTTATACACCATCGTCAGAATCCTATAGTAAATATTTATTGCCGTTTGCTTTCTAGCATGCTAATGCTTCATAAGGGGTAAAGAATTTCTTGAGGAACAGACATTATTTTCTCAAGAACAACTTTTCTCCATGGAGTTAGTTTTCTTTTAATATTTTATTTCTAAATTAGAATCACTGAGCAATAAAAATTACATTCTGATTACAAATCTGAATATGTTGTGAAATTTTATTAATATATGTATAGTGCATATTTATGGAGCACCGTTTGCATTAAATCAGCTTTATATTTGAAGCTGTATTTTTGAGATTTCCAAACTCTGATACTTTGGAGTATATGTTTATAAAAACCTAGTCACCATTGTTTCTAAATAACACTAACTCTTTTGTCATCATTGTAGAACTCATTTCAAATACTCCACAGTATCACACTACAAAATACTAAACAGAATGGTCTGGATATGATAATGTAGATCTGTGCTCAGTCAGTGGTCAGTTTGAGTCTTGGCAGGGACATTGGCTATTCTGATGGAGGTTTTTCATGGTTTTCCTCAGTCCCTCCATGCAAATTCAGGGATGGTACATCATTGAAACCACAACCACTATACTGTCTGTCAGATAGTGAATTGTGTTTTGTATGTAATTTAGGTAGAGCTGTACTGAAGAAGGCAGTGCTTTTGTCCACATGTGACTTAGCTGAATCTTAAGTTGTTTTTTTTTTTCCTGCTGTTATCATGTATAGTTATTTAAACAGTGTAAAATATTTATGGGTTCTCTAGGGCCAGGTGGGTACATTCTTTAATCTGGCTAGAAGACTGCAAAAATGTATGGGTAGGAATGTGATATTTCAGGTTTTCCTGCTAGTGAAGATTTGGATTGTAGTCTCCTTTTTTATGAGACCATATAGTCTGGTATTGACTGACTGAGTATTAGAGAATGAATTTTTCTCTGCTTTGCCTGCCAGTGGTGTGGACTGCTTGTACTGCTGCTCCTCACCCCTTCACCATCGTGTGTCTTAAAGACTCAGTCAGACAGTAAATTGTTACCAATATTTTGCAGGAACTTTCTGTAGTCTTCTTCAGAGTAGAAGATTGAGGCAGCGGGTTCCTTTGAAATGTTTTAACCACTGCTAGACTACATGGTTAACCTGGAAGACCACAGTCTAATAATATGGATAGGCAGTTATATAATATATATATCGTGTATATTTCAGTTGTGAGATGAAATCTAGGCCTCAATGTCTATAACAAAATTTTGATAGAGATTTCATCTGACTCCTTATTAAGAAGTTTGGAGTACAGATTGTTTCCAGATAAGTTTGTTGCAGTTTTGAATCCTTGATCATCTGTATGTTCATCTCTTATAATTACATATACAGTAGAACTTGGTTATAACGTCATCAAAGGGACTTAAAAATAGTGTCGTAACCGAAATGGGCACTTCCACAGTAGCCTTATGTTAGTCACGTAAAAATCTACCAAAAACCGAGTTAAAATGTTGCATTTTTTAGTGAAATACATAGTTAAGTACAGACTAACATAACATTAACGTGGAATTGCCCAAATGTGTAATATCAAAGACATATTACGGCGCTTTTCACTGACAATACACACAATATTTCACGAATCACTTTAACTTTCTCTTCAGTGCTTAAAACTTTCCTTTTCATTGCCATGCTTTCGCTACTGCACTTCTCTGGGTTTAGGCAGGAACACTATAGGGTAAGTAGACAATGTGAGGTCCTGTTAGACGAGATTCTAGGAAAGGAATGCAGTTAACAACCTGCCGCGTCCTCTTGCACTATTCACGCAGTCCCACCCCACACCCTTGTTTTCGCATAAAACCCACGCTCCTCTTGCAGCCCGCGGTCGTATTCTTCCAGGACAGTCATGTCAGCAAGTAGAGAAAGTGAGGGTGGGCAGACACATCGAACTTTCCCACGATATCAGAGAAATTCAGGAATGAAAATGACGTTACATACGAGGTTGATGTATTTGTGCATGTCGTACTAAGCAAGGTATAAAAACAGTTGCTTTATGAGGAATTAGTTCGTACCATTGAATATTTGACGCAATAGACAAGGTGTCGCAGAAACCGATGTTGCTATAACCAAGTTTTACTGTATTTTGTTGATAGAGCTGTCAGCAATAAGAATGCTGCTGTACATGTATGTAGTAGTATTTGTTTATGCATTCTGTTAAATACATGCCATACTGGATATAATTAAAGTCCTTGAAATGGTTTAAACTATTAAACATACTGACAAAGAGACAGGCATTAAGGAAAGAAAGACATTCTGATTGTAGACCATATACCTTCTAATGATTATGAATGCTCATATACAGATGACATATAGACCCCAGATAATTCAATGGTATTAACTGAAGAATTCAACATTCTGGTTAAATATGTTCATTTTTGTCTTGTTTTATATGAATCATAACTACAATTTTGGACTTGTAGTCTTGAGATGGAGAAATGTTAATTTTTTCAGCATGAAGAAATGTTACTTTAGTCAAGGTAAACACAGCGTTATGGAGCTATGAATTTCACACACAACTATCCATGTTTGTATCCCAGTATTTTAACAAAATATAATTATCACACATTAGCCATAGAACTAGCACTAGAATCAGTTCTTTCCACATATCAACATGTTTATAAATATGTAGCATTTTTGTAAATTTGTTTAGTTTCATTATTTTATATACTGGTATAAACTATGTTTTAATTTTTGTATTAATATAATTATTACTGTTTTGAATTGAGGTTTAGTAGCATAGGTTTGTTTCATCACATTTTACTGCACCGTAGTAAGCTTGTGTCACAAGTTTCATTGTGATATGTACTGTCATCTTGTATGTGATTGTGTGAAAGATCTTGCTTAGCATGAAAAAGTTCTGATAAGAGGTTCTTGTAATAAATAGTGTGTCACATCTGAATGTGAAAAGTAGAGGATGTCAGAAACAACCATGTTGTATACTTTCAAATGTTTCAGTTGGTTGTATCTTAGTCTGCTGATTTTTATCTAAAGAAGTGCTTTTATGTAAGAAATGTGTAAGCATTGAAGCTTTGGACATAAGATGCAGACGGTTGGTGCAGGTTATATGAATTGTGGCGAGAAGTATGTCTTTTGGAAAGTACATCAATACCCTGTTACAGTAACTAAATTTCTTTAAGGTTATCAAACCTGTGATGTCTAAGATGGATCCATATTTAACAAGTTATGGATTGAAGCAAACCAATTTATGACGAGTCTTGAATGATCTATATCTCCCATAAATATTGTTTATGGTAAAGCATTTCAAGTTTTTTGAAGTTATGAATCTTAATATGTAGAAATGCAGTGTCTCCAATATATAGTAGATGATTGATTTATGCTACTGAAATACAAGTATTGTGACTTACCCCCCCCCCTTTTTTTGCTCTTAACAATTTTCTATTGACTATAATATTGCAGGAAAATGAACACTTATTAATTTTGTTGCATAATGAGAAAAAATACTTTCTCTTGAATAACTGGGAACATAAGAATTATTAAAATATCTCTCCCCACAATTTTTCTTTCTGATTAATCACTTGCTTTAATCCCCTCATGCTGTAAAAGGTTTTGGTGACCATTGTGATTAATTTT